TGAAAGATTATTTTATATATTCTCCATCTGTGAACGGTTTTCTGTGCCTCACTATTTCCTGAGCGGCAACAAAACTAGCATATGCACTTGAATTTGCTGCCTTCATCCACTTCTTGAAGTGATTTTTGATCAGATCAGCCTTCCGTATCAGTTCAGAAACAGCTTTTTTTATTTCCTCTCCATCCGGATATTTTTGAGCAAAGGCTGCGTGTTTATTCTGGAAATGTCTTACAACATTTGACATTTTGTTGTTAGCTAGTTTCTCATTACATATTAAGCACACTGGTAAACTAGTCTCATCAGCAGTGAAAGCAAATGAATCTTCCACGTAGCATTGAACGTCCTGTTTTCATCTGACACTTTTCTTTTCTTTGAATTCTGCATAGCTGGTCTGCCTGGGGTGAAAAAGTTCAAGAGAAACAGGACATGATCGGCTTCGTAAAGGAATGAATCAGAACCTGGCTTCTTCTGCAGGAGGATTTCCGCATTGAAAGAGCAGACTGAGCGCTGGGACCGAGGCCCACTGTCACCAACCCGCCGGGCTCCATCATTGGCCGCTTCAGGGATTACACCAGAAAAGAAGTGCTGCTGCAACGGGCCGGGTCACTAAAACACATCGTTCTCCAAGGGAAAACAATATACTTTGACTAGGACTTCTCTCCAGAGCTCCAAAAGAAGAGAGTGAGACTGTGGAGCTTCATCAAGCACTTAAAGGAAAACAGGCAAAATGTGGTTTTCCAGCACAACTCAGAATCAACTTGGGAACGAAAAGCTTCCCTCCTCTTGTGGACGCGCGGTACCGACGTTGGAGAGGTTGGACGTCTCGGTGCAGATGAGTGAGAGAGAGAGGATGGAAGCAGAGCCTCCAGAGAGGCCTGGACTCCGAGAGTCAACAACAGGAGACATGGAAAAAGGGGGACAACCTGATGCACATCTAAAAGTTTACATTGAAGACTGAGGAGAACAAAATGTTCATAAACAGAGGAACTCTGGAGGATATAAGGGATGTTTTAGCAACAATTATTAGGGGAGAAGAAGACGTTATGGAAACAGCCAATGTTACATAGTTATATAGTGAATCTGTATTTCAAATGGTTCTGGTCTCACGGGTCGCCAATATCACCTGGTTACTATCGTTATCCCAATTGGGTGGATACTTATTTTCTTGTTACTAAATATTAAAATGTTTCCATAATTTAGTGTTAATCTGTTTTTGTCACATCATTAATATTTTAATTCTCCTTCCATTAAACTGTTGCTGCTCCAAACTGACCAGATCAAAATAATGAATCAGCAAATAAAGTAAATGTTAACAAATTAGATTCATTGCATAAATCATTTATGTAAAGTAATAAAGTTTAGGATCCAGTTCTGACCCTTGTGGTTTTCATCAGGTAACTTCTAGTAAATTATGATTCATATTATTTGTACATTTGATGTTTTGAGTAACTTTTACCCAGGAATGTGAAATGAATCATGATTCAGAAATAAGAGAATAATTATATAAATATATATTGGAGACAGTTCATAACTTAATATAAGAAGTTGCTTCCATCTCCTCAGGTTTGGTCAGAATCTCCTTCAGTCTAATTTGGGTCAAATGTTCTGGTTTCCTTCCACAAGGTTCTCATGATACATTGCTGGAGTTCTGGTCCGTTCTTTACAGAACCGGTGACGGTCTTTACTAAAATATGAACTTTTTATGAGCAAATTGATAATAAAATGACAACCATCAGAAGGCCTGTTCTTTAGGTCAGAGCAGCAGAATATTTTCCTCTCTTCTTTCTCCAACATGGTTCAGACATTAAACTGAGCCATGTTGCTGTTGGCAACAACAGCTAAAAAAGATTAGCAGAGGAAGCTGCCATCAGCTGCTGCACTTCTACTATTAGTCCACTAGATGGAGACATGGAGCAACATTTACATTCACTGATTCAACCTGAACATGAAATATTTTAGTTCACAATCATTAAACTCTACAAGTGAAGAAGATTAACTATTTAATAATCTGACTGAATCAAACACATTTTAACAATATTTGTTTTATTTTGAAAGGAAGCAACAGGAAACTGTTGATTCTGACTTTAATGGTGGAGACAAGAATTTGATACCAGGAAACAAAAATATGAATCAGTTTGTTCAGAGAAGAAAACAAAGAAACATCAGCTGTTCATCATGTTGATTGATTCCAGTTCATCAGTAATCTAATAATCCTGTAGATTAACTTTCAGAAGGAAGAGAGATTAAAGTTTGAGTTCAAATCATGGGGAACATTTTCTCCAAACTCTTTGATGATTTCACTGAATTTTTGTCGTGATTTCTTGATTTGATTTTGTTCTTATTGTTGGTGATTTAACTTTCATATCGACGATCCATTGGATCAAAACAGTAAAGAGCTGCATCAGATCCTGAATAACTACAGACTGCTCCAACATGTCCTGGAACCCAAACATAATCATGGACTCACTCTGGACCTTATTATTTCTAAAAGAGTCATTATATCTAAAATTGCAGTTGTTGATGTAAAACTTTCAGAACACTTTTGTATTTCTGGGACAGTTTTCTCCCTGCTGACAAAGACAACTATAAACAAGTCATTTCAAAAAGATGCATTAAACTACAGCTGATCAATTTATTCAGGCTTTTCCTTTCTGCTATAAACTCCTGTACTTCTGAGAGATTCAATTGTCAACTTTATGTTTAAAATTGAGAAGGTTATTGACACCATTGCTCCTGTTACTACAAAAGTAATCTCTGGGAAAGATGAACCACCTTGGAGAGATTTAGAGTCGGTTAGAAAAGGGAAGAAAGAATGAAGGAAAGCAGAACATCAGTGGCGTAAAACTAAACTGCAAATCCATTTAGATATTTACAAAGAGAAACTCAAAATGTTTAATTCTGAACTGAGAAATGCAAGAGAGTTTTTTTCTCAAATGTCATTTCTACCTCTATCAACTACTCTCATGCTCTGTTCTCAATTGTTGACAGATGATAATCCACCTTCTTCTGTTAATCATGAATTTTTCTCCTCTGAGGTCTGTGACAAACTTGCCACCTATTTTGTAAATAAAATGGTGAAAATAAGGGAGACCATAAACTCCTTTGTGTCTGTTTTTAGGAAACAATTAACTGTTTTCCACCAATCAGGACTTACCTATGATGACCCACTTTAACCTGGTCACTCAAAAACATTTGAGTTACAATTTATATGAATTCATCCACCTGTTCCCTTGACATCATACCTACGAGTTTATTCTTAAAGGTCTCAGATGTTTTTGCTCCTGATCTTCTACAAATAATTAATAATTCATTCACCTCTGGAGTTTTCCCTCAGGCTTTAAAGACTGTGGTAGTTAAACCACTTTCTCAAAAAACAGATTCTGGACTCATCAATTCTAAGCGATTATTGACCAATATCAAACTTACCATTAGGCTAAAATATTAGAAAAAATAGTTTCTAAACAGATAAATGGCTTTCTAGCCCTAAACTGTTTTGATGTTCATCAATCAGGCTTCTGTCAACTGAAACTGAAAATATTCAATGACCTCCATCTAAACACCGACCCTAATAAAATGTCAATATTACTTCTACTTGACTTTAGTGCTGCATTCAACACAGTCGATCACGATATTTTATTATCTCGATGAGAAAATTGGGTTGGCAATTCTGGTGTATTTCTCAGCTGGCTTAAATCTTACCTGTCTGACAGAACCTTTTGTGTTTCAATATTCAGCTTTAAATCCAAGGAAAATGAAATTACCTATGAAGTTCCCCAAGGGTCCATCCTGGGGCCACTTCTTTTTAATATCAATATGCTTCCATTAGTTCAAATAATACAAAATAATGAGATAGAAAACCACAACTATGCCAATGACACACAGTTATTCATTAGTCTTTCACCAGGAAATTACAGTCAGGTTCAAATATTCACTACATGTATTGAACAGATTAATGTCTGGATGAGCAAAAACTTTCTCCAACTAAATCAAAATAAAACTGAAATATTAGTGTTTGGACCAAAAGAACATAGATTTAAAACAATCACCCACCTTAAATCTGTTGGATTAAAATGCTCTGACAAAGCCAATAATCTGGGGGTGATCATGTATCCTGATCTGAACTTTAACAACCACATCAAATCTATCATAAAATCATCAGACTACCATTTAAAAAATATTGCTAAAATTAGACGACGCATGTTCCCACAAGACTCTAAGAAATTAGTCCCTTTGTTTTTAGTAGACTCGATTACTGCAGTGCCATATTTACTGAATTATCAACAAAAGCAATAAGCTCCAGCTTCTCAGAATGCTGCTGCAAGAGTCCTAACTAAAACAAAAAAAGATCAGCAGATCAGCCCAGTTCTGAGATTCCTGCACTGGCTTCCTGTTGCTCAAATAATATAATTTAAAATATCTTTAATAGTTTACAAAACACTTCATAATAGAAACCTAGACTACATTTCTGATCTTCTTCAACCATATATACCACTCATATATATAACTACCAGAATCAAACCTATTAACTAAACCAAGAGTCAGACATAAACTTGGTGAAGCAGCATTTAGTTTTTATGCTCCAACACTTTACAATAAACTTCCTGCTCATTGTAAGTAAATACCTTAAGTTTATTTAAAACAAGGTTAAAAAACTTCTTATTTGAAATTGCCTATTAAACATTTAATTAACAGTTAATTCATGAACTACATTTAACATTTTAATGTTTATTTGTCTATTTTTAATCTTAATTTCTTAAAATTATTATTATTATTTTTACTATCTTCTTGTTCTATTTTGTTTTAAACTTCCTTGTAAAAACACTTTGAATTGTCTTTGGCTGAAAGGTGCTATGTAAATAAAGTTGCCTTTCCTCTGACTCCCAGTCAGTCCTACCAGTCTGACCAGTCAGACCAGTCAGACCAGTCAGACCAGTCAGTCTGGGCTCTTTTCTCCTCATAACACTTTCAGTTTAAACTAACCTGTTTATTTGTGACACCAGTCTGAATCTACTGTGGTTCTGTTGGGTCTCAGCTTGTTGTTCAGATTTTCTTCATCAATTCTTTGGATCATTTGAACAAACTGTAAGTTTGCTTTGTTTCCTACTTGAACTTTGTCATCAGGATATTCCTGCTTGTTTCTGCTTTGATGTTTGGACAAAATGTTCACTTCTGCAGTGATGTATAAAGTACTGAAATCTCGGAGTCAAGTAAAAGTATAGGTACCTCTCCAAAATATGACTTTGTTAAAAGTAAAAGTCACTGATTGAAATGTTACTTGAGTTAAAGTATTAAAGTATCTGAAATGTCTTGTACTTAAATATGGAAATTACTGTAACAATGAATGTTCTCAAGTAATGTAATGAAAAGTACAAGTAAAAAGTAAAACAAGGCAAATGCAGTTTGAATGACATTTTATATATTTTGGTAAACTTGTTAAATACACTTAAAATAATGTACACAACCAAGTGCAGGCAAAATGAAACCTGCTCATAGATATACCTGCAGGCATCATTTAGTTAAGAAAATTAGGTGCTTTACTTAAATCACCAAGTTAACTTAACCTGCTTTAGGTTAACTTAACCTGCTTTACAACTGAACCAGCTTCTTAATAAACCCTCCAGGACAGAAAATACAAAGTTTCTATAAGCCTCAAGTTTTCCCTTTCAGTAAGGTCAGTGCTAAAATTGAGAAAAATTAACAGTCAGTACAGAAAATGCGGCCAACATGAAGAAAAAACCCGTTACGATTACTCTACTTCACAAACTACAGGTGCACACAACTGATCATTATGTAAAAGAAAAATAATTGGGAGGGAAATGCAGCTTATTTGGCATCTGAAGAGGGAGAGCTTTTTAGTTAACTTGGTGTTTAATGGGAGAAGCGAAACAGACCTCCGTGAAGCTGAAACCCACCTACTCAAATAATCCAGCAAATAGTCTGATTGGTTAGTGCTCTGTTTGTGCCATTAAAGTGTTTGTTTGTGCAGCATTGGTTTCCAAGATATTAAAAATTATTTTTTAGGCCATCCAAAATATATACTTTTTAAGATTACAATTACTAAAAATATTGAGTATGATTACTTCATGACTACTTCATACTCAATATTTTGTGTCATGAATTTTGTGTCAGTTGGTCACAAGGCAAGAAATCTATTTCCATTAGTTTCTCAGGAGAGTTTGGATGTAAAATTTGTTGACTCTCCCTGAGTGAAACTCCGACACCTTGAGGAAGGGGGAGACCTAGAAAACGGCTGGCCGAAATTAGCGTTCATGAATCGGATCAACCTCGAGTTAGGCGCCGCTTGCACCAGATATTGGAGTAGCCAAAATCCAAATTGAAAACAACTTTGCTGCGTTTATTTTAACAGCACAAACCTGCACAAACGGAGCACTAATGAACCAGCCCACTTTGGTTTATTGTGGAGCAAAATGCAGGGATGGTGAACTCTGGATGGCCTAAAAATCATTTTAATATCTCGGAAACCAAAACTGGACAATCGAACATTTTAACGGCACAACCTACACAAACGGAGCACTAACCAATCAGACTGTTTGCTGGACTTTTTGACGTAGGTGGGGAGGTGCGAAACCTGTGCATCCTATTGGTGGTGATGAACAAGACCAGGCAAGCAGGCTTTGTTACAGTCGGTCATTAGGTTGATCAAAACATTTGCGTTTCTCTCTCGCTTTTTTGTAACAAGTAACTAAACCACACATTGAAAATGTATCGGAGTAAAAGTATGCAATTCAGTTCAGAAATGTAGTGAAGTAAAAGTGAAAGTTATCAAAAATTTTCATACTTGAGGAAAGTATGAAGTACTCCAAAATATACTTAAGTAAAGTAGTGAAGTATTTTTACTTCGTTACTACAACTGCTTCTGATTTCAGCTAAAAAACTAAAATCTCTGCTGTTTGAAGTTCTCTGCTGAACATCTGGTTTTCTTTATTTTCTTATCTGGACAAACTGATTCTTGGTTTTATTTCCTGGCATCAAACTCTAGTCTCCAACATTAAAGTCAGAAAGTCCTGTCGCTTCCTTTCAAAATAAAAGAAGGTTATTTTTAAAATATGTTTTATTTAGTCGGATTATTAAATAGTCAATATTTGATAGAGCAGATAATCCACTTGTAGAGTTTAATTTATAGGGTCATAAACTAGTCCACCGATTAAATTTCTGTCATAAGGATGTCTATAATTTCTTTAATAAGCATCCTGAGACACCCCTACCTGAAAACCAAACCTAAATGTGAGAAGAAAGTCGACAGAAACCAAATCGGCTCGTAAAAATGAGCCACTATCTAAAGTGCACTGAACCAGCAGGTGAAGGATTTAATGGACAGACCCAATCAATCAATCAATCAATCAAATTTTATTTGTATAGCACATTTCAGCTACAAGGCATTTCAAAGTGCTTTACATCATAAACACAAAACACAAAGGCATGCAACATAGAATAAAATACCAAGGTTTTTTTTTTTTTCCTTCCCTTTGACACGGAATTTAAGCGCCTGTTACCGCCGGACTCCGCCGTCCGTTTAACCACGGGTATTCGCCGGGCCCCGTTGCCCACAACAGGAAAAAAAAAAAAAAAAAAAAAGATTACATGCATATCCACAAATACAAATCCATACATATTACATTTCAAATACAATTCTAAACAGGTGCGTTTTTACTTGAGATTTGAAGGAAGTCAGGGTTTCCGCTGTTTTACAGTTTTCTGGAAGTTTGTTCCAAATTTTTGGTGCATAGATGCTGAAAGCTGCTTCTCCTCTTTTGGTTCTGGTTCTGGGGATGCAGAGCAGACCAGAACCAGAAGACCTGAGAGGTCTGGAAGGTTGATACAACATGTTCCATTATGAAGATGGAACATGTCACATGTCACAAGGTGACTCAACTGGTAAATCCAGGATGAAGAAAAGCTTCAAGTTTTCCAGCTCTTTTTTAAAAGAGCTCTAATCAGTTGTACAGTGAATGGAAACATGAAATGGATCTCAAAGGTCAGGAATTTCTGCCTTACAAAAACTTAAGGAAGAACTGAAGAAATCTAAGTGTGTACAGGCAGAAGAGCGACGCCTCCTGGAGAAGATTGGAGCTTTGGGTGAAAAGGTGAGCAGCATGATAGTCATGAGTGACAGAAAAGCAAATCCACCTGGAAGCCTCAGAATACCTGAAGTCACATTAAGAAAGACTTTAAAATATGGAACCAGACTGGAGAAACAGAACAGACAGACAAACTTTCTGTCACCAGTTTCAGTAAGCAGATGGAGTCAGGAAGAAAGAAGAGATATGCTGGAAGTGAAGTGGAACCTCACACTCCCCACTCTTACAATTACATTAAACTACAAAGTTGACTCATCATCTGACCTGCTGGTCAGGATCATGAACATCTCCCAAGACTGAATTTCCTACAGTCTGACAGTTATTTTCCCTCATTGCTGAAACAAGGTGATCAGTCTCATTGGAAGAAGATGTTGTCCAGAGCATCTTGATAATGCAGAGCTTCATGGAGAAACATACAGAAAATCAGTCAGACATTCTTGGTGTCGAATGAAACAGTTAAGTCCATGCTCATGATTTTGAATACCCACAAAGAAGAAATGTTGGAACAGTTTCCACGGGAAAGAAGATTTTCCTGCCTGTTCACATAAACACCACCTTAATCTGGATTGTCCTGCTGTTGCAATCAGAGGCCAAGAAGAAGCTTCAAGTTCTTCTCCTGTTCAGCTCCACGTTCCTGTCAGAGACTTCAGCTCCTCATGAGAACAACTAAAGCCTGGAATAGACTGACACCAACATCCTGACATCTCATCCCTGAACAAAGCTTTGCAGCATCAAGGTGACTCTTAGCGCCATATATGGACAGATTTCCTCTAAAGGGGGCGGAGCCTGGATTGGAGGAACCAGCAGCAGCTTCCAGGAACAATCCTTGAGAACCTCTGGAGGAGATCATGGAGATGAGATTCCTGCTTTAATCAGTGGATTCATTGATAGAAAACATGACGACTGAAATATCTGAGAGCTGCAGCTCCATTTTCTACAGATCTGCTGGAACATCAGATAGAAATGAAGAATTTCATCATTTCACATCAAATCTGTTCATCTTCTACAGATACAACTGAATTATTGAGCTGAACTGGTTCTAAAGGTCTGGATGGTAAAAACATCCATTGTTTTTCTGTCTCATTAGTTTCCAGAAAGAGTTGAAATGTTTCAGAAGCTTTTATCCAGCAGCTCAGTAAAGATCTCTCCTCTTTCCAACCTGATTTAGTCCATGAAGCAGAACATCTCTGCTGCTGCAGCAACAGGAGGAAACTTCTCCAGATCTCAACTTCTACACTCTGACTGCTTGGAAACAGATCAGGGAGGAACAGCCTTTTCTCCAGGCTGCTCCTCCTGACTCTAGCGCCACCTACTGGCTGTTCAGCAGACATGACAGCTGAGGAGAAAAGAAGAAACAAGGAAATAAAAACTAAAACAGCGACCGGTTCATCCAGTCTGAATGTCCAGGTTATGACTCAGGGACATTCTGTTCCAGTCTATGAGGGAATATTCAGTTTGAAAGCAGGAAGTCGTGTCTTTCCTCTCAAAACTTTTAATGCTTGAACTCAAAACTTCTGCTCTCTTTCAAATATTTACTGTTTCTTCCTCAAATCTTTTTCTTACGCTCAAAACTTTTCTCTCCTTGGATCAAATCTCCCTTGCAAAACTCTCTGCCTTCCTGCGAATCATTTTCGGATCCATCTTGGAACAGAATATTTTCAATGGGTTGGTTTAGATTTCAGAGGTTAGTTAAACTTTAAAGAGTCACAGGATTCTATCAAAAGAATGGATGTTGATTTTTATCAGCTTTTCTAACATTTATCTATCTAGATTGTTCCTGTATTGTTAGAATAGACAGAATCTCTCTATCTAGACAGATTCATCACACACAGACACACTCACTAGAAGGAAACAATGGGTTTTCTTTCAGCCCGTCTATAACACGTCTATAATCCAAGAGTTATAGAATCTAATGTAACGCTTGGATCCTATTGGCTGAGCGGTTGCTAGGCGACGGTTCTTTTCTGTGGTCCAGCAGCAGTCGTGTGGTGATATTAAGGATACAGTTGAGTTTGTTCCTTTGTTCCAGTTTTCAGATTATTTTCTGTTAGTTTATATTTTTATTTGTTTCTTATTTTTGTTTAGATATTTTTTGATGCCATAATTGCATTAAACCATAAACTTTTAGTTATTTAGTGTCAAAGGGATAAAAATAGTTAGATTTCCATCTGACCAGCAGCTTCTTGAAGCTGATGACCTTTGACCTGCTGTGGAAGCAGAAAGGATGGACTTAGTTTTTCTCTCAATGCTTCAGAACTTTGGTTCTGATTCATTTAAATAAATTATGATTGAATATCATGTTTACTGCTGTTGCATTGAGTTCATTTCAAAAGCTGCTGAGGAACAGATGATCTTTATTCACATCCTGATCATTGAAACATTAGAACTGGTTCTGGTTCTGATCCGTTTTTTACCATCACTGACATGTTTGGATCATTTAAAAATGCTGCTTCTGGGTTTAATAATCAGACGTCATGCAGGTTGTAGTTTCACCACCAGGGGGAGATAAATTTCCCACCATTGAAGAATCCAGTTGGTTCCAAGTTTAAACAGGTTCTGGTTCCATTAGAGCTGAACAGAACCTGGATCAGCAAAATAAAAACTAGTTTGTGTTCAAACTGGGAGTTATGAGAAGGGTTCATGTCTTCAGTCATCTGCAGGTAAACTTTCCTCTGACTCCCAGTCTGACCAGTTAAACCAGTTTGGGTTCATTTCTCCTCTTAAGACTTTCAGTTTAAACTCACCTGTTCAGATGTGGTACCAGTTTGGTTCTACTGCGGTTCTGTTGGGTCCCTGATTGTTGTTCATAAATTCTTCTTCAGCTGTTTGGATCATTTGAACAAACTGTAAGTTTTATTTGATTTTTACTTGAACTTTGTCTTCAGGAATTTTACTGTTTCTTATTTTTCTCTCTGATGTTTAGAGAACAGAAAACTAGTGACAAGAACTCAAAGGTTAATCTCTGCTGTTTGAAGGTTAATCTAAGGGATTATTAGATTACTGATAAACTGGAATCCAACAGCTCTTGATGAAGAGCTGAATGTTCTCTGAACAAATTGTTTTGTGTTTTTATTTCCTGGAGTCAAATTCTAGTCTTCATCATTAAAGTTAAACAAACAAGTTTCAAAGTAAAATATTTTTTTAATATGTGTTTAATTCAGTCAGATTATTAAATAGTTGAACTTTGATGGAGCAGATAATCCACTTGTAGAGATTAATAATTAACTAAAATACTTCCTGTTCAGGTTGAATCAGTGAATGTAAATGTTGCTCCATGTCTCCATCTAGTGGACTGATAGTAGAAGTGCAGCAGCTGATGGCAGCTTCCTCTGCCTCTCTGCTGTCTGACTGCATTCACCTGACACTGATATGAAGCAGAGAAGAAGAGCCAATCAGAGGAGGAGCAGCTGATCTTTTTCCAGCACTAATGATGTAAAGGATGATCAGAGTTGATGTGCAGATGAATGATGTGTGTTTCCTCTGCAGGTGAAGCTAGAAAGTGTGTGTGAGCTGATGTGGATTCAGCAGCATGGATCAGTGTGAGGACAGAGAGGAGGGAGTCCCTCCCTCTAAAACCACTTTGTGTGGGGAAGATGAGAGCCAGAGCAAAGGTCAGAGGTGAGGTCACCATCTCTAACTGTCCACAGCCCTTTTCACACAGCGTTCACTATATCAGGCCAGAACAGACGTGGTGATGAAGCTGCTGCTGCTCCTCTTTGCTGATTAAGTTTTAATCATCATGTTTCTGTCAGGATCCATCATAGACTAAAACCAAAACCAGAACCAGAACCAGAACCCAGCTGTGTGTCCTTTAAGAGCAACCAGTCAAAGGATGACGTCATTGACTTTAAATCTCCTGGATCTCCACCATCAGAGAGGTGAGATGTTTCTAACTGCTGTAACTTCAGTTTATATCTGTTATTTTTGCCATCCAATATTAATTTAACACACAAACACAAAAGGCAGAAATGACTTTAATTTATAAATTGGTATTTGGATTGTTCTCTAAATCTAAATTTAATTTATTTTCCAGAGTAATGCTGAAAGAAAAAGGCTTTTATGAATTAATTTTATGATTCCAGTTTCATCTCTGTGGTTCAAACATCATCTAACATGGTGGATTATTGACCATTTTTACAGTTAAGCTAAATAAATATCTCATGGGGATATTTTTCAGAACCAGATCATCTCTAACTGACACCATTCATAAGCAATTGGGTCATTCTCTGAATTCAGTGCATTTTGAGTCTCAGGTTAATCTAAAATATTTTTATATTTAGATAAACCCACATTTTTTGACAAAAATCAAGTAATGGAAATATCCATGTCTTGGTGATATAACATGCAAATATATTTTAAAAGTTACATTTTGAAAGATTTGATGGTTGTTGAAGCGTAGAGGTCAGCCAAGTGAACATGTCCCCACTGAACAATGTTACGTTTTCACTAAATATAAAACAAATAAAAATAGCCAGTAACTGCAAGTTATTTGTACCTTTTTAAACATTTTAGGTTTACTTAAATGTAAATAAAAGTAATATGATGAAAAATACATAAATTATTTATATAAATTTTTAATCACGTCCCTCCAGTTTTGTTTAACCCTGTAACAGCAAACCAATCCCTCCTTTTTTTATAAATAATGGCTCAGTCCAATTTCCTCAGCATCCTGGAAGTGACATCACTAAAGTCTTTTCCTTCTCACACTGTAAAGAGATTAAAGTGTTAATATAGTTTATTACCTATATTTGATTATTTTTTTATCCAAACATTGTTATCGTCAAGCTCAACCTTTCATCAACATTAGGCATGTAAATGATATTTATTATTGTTTAGGAAAAGTAAAGAATGGCCTTTGAAACACATTAATTTCTTGTTTAGTGAAAATCTTCAACCCCATTACAGTCTGGTCAACTGTTACAATGAGTTCAAAAGCTTCACTTGATACATTGTTTTATAGTAACAGCAAATATTAGATTATTTGTTGGACTGTATGCAAAGTTTAAAGAATGATTCAAATACATGAAAAGTCTGATATAATGTTTATTTTAAAGTATGTTTGCATGATTTATGAAAAGCGGTTTTACATCAAATTGCCATTATCTACTTTTCAATCTAATTATTATGACTCAGAATCAAATAAAAATATACTTACATTTAGTGATTTTAATCCAGGGAAAGGTCATCTAAGAGAATTAGTTTAATTATGTTGTAGAGTTATACTCACAGAGGAATGAAATTGTCCCGTTACAGTGTTGAATTTATAGCAACTTAAGTAACAAAGAAATTTGTAAAACTGTTTGGGATTTTATGAATAAGGTGGGAGACATATTTTCTTGGAGATTTAAAGAGTCCTTCAGTAGATTCAGTGTTCAAAACAATTTTTGTGGCATATTTGTAAGTAATCTGAGACTCCAAAATGTACCAAATTCAGAGAATCACCCAATTACTGCTTCATTATGGGACAAAAATGACCCATAATGAACTCACTTTTCAATCAAGACACATAAACTATCATGTTGATATAACTATTGAGCCACAAACATTTAACTGCATTTTCTTCTTTTTAGCATCAAATTAATTTTTCCAAATGAAACAGACTCATTTATTTAATAAAATATTCATATTAACACAGAAACAAAAAGACAGAAGTAAATTTCTGATGGGTATTTTCTCAACCTACATAAAAGAGAGCTTATTAGTTTTCAACCAAGCTTTTTCAAAAGGGGTAAAATCACAGCAAACTGCTTCTTTAAGCCGCTCTCTGTGCTGCTGCACCGCTAGTCTTTTTATTAGCACAGGGAAGAAGCGAATGCAATGTGGGAGAGTGATCTTAACAGGAGGAATCTATTCTGATAGCAAAGAAGGAGGACCACAGAAACTACATTCTACACACAGGCAGTTTCAAAAGTAAGGAGTTTACTGGTAGATAGGAAAACAGCTGCAGAAAACATGTTCAAGGTGAAGGCAAAAAAGCAAGTTTTGTCTTTCACACAGTTTTAAAAATTCCTCCTCTCGGGAGTGAGAACAGTAAACATTTAAATGTTAAACAATTTAGCAAACTACTAATGTAAGAGTGATAACAAAACAGAATAGTACCAATTTCATTTCTTGGTTTAAATTTGGATTAGTGTTTAAGTCTGATTATCCACTCATCCATCCATTAATTACCGCTTATCTGGGGTCGGCTCGCAGGGGTAGCAGCTTCAGAAGGGAGGCCCAGACTTCCCTTTCCTCAGCCAGTTCTTCCAGCTCTTCCGTGGGAATCCCAAGGCGTTCCCAGGCCAGCCGGGAAACATACTCCTCCAGCATGTCCTGGGTCTTCCCCAGGGCCTCCTCCCAGTGGGAGGTGCCCGAAACACCTCACCAGAGAGGCGTCCAGGAGGCTTCCTGTCCAGATGCCCGAGCCTCCACTGGCTCCTCTCGACATGAAGGAGCAGCGGCTCTAATCTGAGCCCCTCCTGGATGACTGAGCTTCTCACCCTTTCTCAAAGGGAGAGCTCAACTTAGTCTGATTTAACAAATTAATGTCGAAAGAAAAAGTTTCTATGACTGAATTTTATGATTCATGTTGCATCTCTGAGATTGAAGCATCATTGAACATGGTGGATTATCTTCTAAATAATGTCTCCTGTGAATCAAACTCAGAATGAGATGTTCTCCAACTTAACATTCAGTTCTGATTGAAGCTCCATCAGATCCTCCTTGGATGGTCAGAGTGGAAATGATTCCTGGTTCTGCTCCATGTCAGAGCTCAACACTAAGATCACCAAACTGTTCTCTCAGTCATTTCAAACCAACATGTTGGTCTCAGAAACAAATCTTTCTGCTCTTTAAAGAAGGCTGGACATTATTCAGGAGGATCAATGATCAGGAACATGTTGGAGGATTGGACCGGTTCTGATAGGAATCATTTAGAACATCAGGTTGATGATCTGTCTGGTTCTGATTTTGGTTTACAGTCACATAAAAAAAATTATCTTGAAAGCAAACAATAGAGAGTTTCTAATGAGATTTTCTTTCAGGATCCATCAGAGATTCAAACCACAACCAGAACCAGAACCCAGATGTGTCTCCTTTAAGATCAAAAGGTCAATGGAATATCTCACTAACTTTAAATCTCCTGGATCTCCACCATCAGAGAGGTGAGCTGTATCTAATTGCTGTAACTTTGGAAACTGAACCAGTAAGAACTCAGATGTTTCCAGTTATATTTCCAGAGGTTTGATCCATTATCTACAGAAATCAGCTGCTCTGTTCTCATGAAAACACCTTCATATCTTTATCTCTGGATGTTGATGATGATGTTCTGTTGCTTCCTGGCTCCATGTCAGACTAACAGTGGATCACATTTCCACTGGGAAATACCTGGTAAAGCCATTCTGGTCCATCAGGACTTGGTTCCTGTGTGCATTGTGAGAGCAGTTCAGCAGGGAAGGAAAGCTTCATGATGTGGTTGGTGAGATCTGCTGGAACTCAACCAAACTGAGCTGATGTGGACCATCAGAGGTTCTGCTGGTTCTTAATGGGATCAGCAGGAACATTAAATCTTTACAACTACTTAGATCACCTGGTTCACTGCTCACATCCAGATATCACTTCATGGACCTTTACCTTCAGATTGTCTCTGTGAGGACAGATACAATATGAGCTCACTGCTGGATGAATATTTCCTGACTTCCTTATTGTTCCTGGTTCCTCCACAGAGTGGACCAGCAGAGCTCAAAGGTTCCCATGGGTCCATCTGCCCAGCAGTATCAAACACAGCTGGACTCCATATTTATGGTCTGTATATGAACAACAACTACTTTCCATGAGTTCTGTTCAAAGTCACCTTCATGCTGCACTTTGTAGACCAGAGGACTGTCAGTCTGTCCAACATCCATCTGGTGTTTGGCTCCATAATTTCACTCTGATGTTTCCTTCATCTATTATTCTGTTCCAGCTGCTGGAGGACAACATTGTCACTTATGTAAAGAAAGAACTGAAGAAGATCCAGAAAGTTCTGAGTCCAGATTACCCAGAACATTCAGAGATTCAGAGAGATGATGAGGTGTTGGAAGGTGATGATGAAGAGCAGAGGAGGAGCAGAGAGGCAGTGATGAAGATCACACTGAACTTCCTGAGGAAGATGAAGCAGGAAAAGCTGGCTGACCGTCTGCAGACCAGTAAGAGGATTTCTAAAGAGATTTGAAATGATAGATAAATTACACAGTTGCTGAAGTGATGTAATAAAATTCAAAAGATGATTTTCTTTCACTACTTATTTTTATTATTGTGTTATTTTAGGACATTTTGCTCCAGTTTGTGAAAATCAACTTAAATCTGGTCTGAAGAAGACGTTCCAGTCTGTGTTTGAGGGAATTGCTAAAGCAGGAAGTCCAACCCTTCTGAACCAGATCTACACAGAGCTCTACATCACAGAGGGAGGGACTGGAGGGGTCAATGATGAACATGAGGTCAGACAGATTGAAACAGCATCCAGGAAACAACACAGAACAGAAACAACAATCAGACAAGAAGACATCTTTAAAGTCCCACCTGGAAGAGATCAACCAATCAGAACAGTGATGACAAAGGGAGTGGCTGGCATTGGGAAAACAGTCCTAACACAGAAGTTCACTCTGGACTGGGCTGAAGACAAAGCCCACCAGAACATCCAGTTCATATTTCCATTCACATTCAGAGAGCTGAATGTACTGAAAGAGAAAAAGTTCAGCTTGGTGGAACTTGTTCATCATTTCTTTAGTGAAACCAAAGAAATCTGCAGCTTTGAACACTTCCAGGTTCTGTTCATCTTTGATGGCTTGGATGAGAGTCGACTTCCACTGGACTTCCACAACAAGGAGATCCTGACTGATGCTACAGAGTCC